TGCTAATAATTAGGGTTCTTGAATACTTTTTTTAAGATTTAACTCCTAAATTTAGTGTCACTTTCAGTAAAATAGCCCACAGCTTCTTTCATCTTTTGGGTAATCCAGTGGTGAGATTCCCTGCCTGTTTCTCTAGCCTTGGAGTCTCATTCCCCCTGCTGCATTCTCAGTTATATAACTGTAATAAGAATATTGGGACTGGCTGGTAATATTCAAAGTAGATAGCAGACCTGGGAAGAGCACAGATCACACCACATTGTTCCTAAAACAAAATAACCTAAATGTCAGCTCACCAACATCTACAAAAACATTCTTCGGAGGTGGAATAAAAGATCTGAGTTGTCTCTAGGCTATATACAACCCACACACAATGAGACTCAGTAATGATCGGTGTTACATTGGTGAGGATTATCTGTGTGCAGTCACATCACTAATAACACAACGAGGAATGTCCCCGCCCGGTTCAGTGTACAGGATAGATTTCTCCTACAGTTATCACACTGATCCCAACATTGAAGCATGTCCTGCAGAAGGATACATTGATTCTAGCTCTTACCCGAGTTCCTTCCATTGTGGGCACCTTCACTCACTCCCTACACCTCCGTGTGGAAGAAATCACGGCGACTGTATACATGGGAGGAACGGCTATCGGGTTGTCATGAGAACGGGGAGAAGGACCTTTCTGACGTTACCCCCATGTGACCATATCCCTGTACCGGGATAGGCGGTGTGGAGTCTACGTGCATTGTGCAAAAGGGAGGGAGAGATTGATTTGCTAATACAAAAATTCAGTCGGGTGCCGGTGTTGTGACAGTCTATAGATCTGTGCCAGGTGAAAGGGGGTGCAAAGTGACTGAGGGGAACCCTGAAATGTAGTGAGGCGCAATGTGAGTTGTGCTGGGTGTAGGGAGGTACAATGTGAGGGGGACCCTGATCTATTTAGTACTGACTGTGCTGGGTGTAGGGAGGTACAATGTGAGGGGGACCTTGAGCTATTTGGTACTGTTCTGGGTGTAGTGAGTCACAATGTGAGGGGGACCCTGAGCTATTTAGTACTGACTGTGCTGGGTGTAGGGAGGTACAATGTGGGGGGGACCCTGAGCTATTTAGTACTGTTCTGGGTGTAGTGAGGCACAATGTGAGGGGGACCCTGAGCTATTTAGTGCCTTGTTGGGTGTAGTGAGGCACAATTTGAGGGGGACCCTGAGCTATTTAGTACTGTGTAGTGAGGCACAATGTGAGGGGGACCCTGAGCTATTTAGTACTGTGCTGGGTGTAGTGAGGCACAATGTGAGGGGGACCCTGAGCTATTTAGTACTGTGCTGGGTGTAGTGAGGCATAATGTAAGGGGGGCCCTGAGCTATTTAGTACTGTGCTGGGTGTAGTGAGGCACAATGTGAGGGGGACCCTGAGCTATTTAGTACTGTGCTGGGTGTAGTGAGGGGGACCCTGAGCTATTTAGTACTGTGCTGGGTGTAGTGAGGGGGACCCTGAGCTATTTAGTACTGTGCTGGGTGTAGTGAGGGGGACCCTGAGCTATTTAGTACTGTGCTGGGTGTAGTGAGGGGGACCCTGAGCTATTTAGTACTGTGCTGGGTGTAGTGAGGGGGACCCTGAGCTATTTAGTACTGTGCTGGGTGTAGTGAGGGGGACCCTGAGCTATTTAGTACTGTGCTGGGTGTAGTGAGGGGGACCCTGAGCTATTTAGTACTGTGCTGGGTGTAGTGAGGGGGACCCTGAGCTATTTAGTACTGTGCTGGGTGTAGTGAGGGGGACCCTGAGCTATTTAGTACTGTGCTGGGTGTAGTGAGGGGGACCCTGAGCTATTTAGTACTGTGCTGGGTGTAGTGAGGGGGACCCTGAGCTATTTAGTACTGTGCTGGGTGTAGTGAGGGGGACCCTGAGCTATTTAGTACTGTGCTGGGTGTAGTGAGGGGGACCCTGAGCTATTTAGTACTGTGCTGGGTGTAGTGAGGGGGACCCTGAGCTATTTAGTACTGTGCTGGGTGTAGTGAGGGGGACCCTGAGCTATTTAGTACTGTGCTGGGTGTAGTGAGGGGGACCCTGAGCTATTTAGTACTGTGCTGGGTGTAGTGAGGGGGACCCTGAGCTATTTAGTACTGTGCTGGGTGTAGTGAGGGGGACCCTGAGCTATTTAGTACTGTGCTGGGTGTAGTGAGGGGGACCCTGAGCTATTTAGTACTGTGCTGGGTGTAGTGAGGGGGACCCTGAGCTATTTAGTACTGTGCTGGGTGTAGTGAGGGGGACCCTGAGCTATTTAGTACTGTGCTGGGTGTAGTGAGGGGGACCCTGAGCTATTTAGTACTGTGCTGGGTGTAGTGAGGGGGACCCTGAGCTATTTAGTACTGTGCTGGGTGTAGTGAGGGGGACCCTGAGCTATTTAGTACTGTGCTGGGTGTAGTGAGGGGGACCCTGAGCTATTTAGTACTGTGCTGGGTGTAGTGAGGGGGACCCTGAGCTATTTAGTACTGTGCTGGGTGTAGTGAGGGGGACCCTGAGCTATTTAGTACTGTGCTGGGTGTAGTGAGGGGGACCCTGAGCTATTTAGTACTGTGCTGGGTGTAGTGAGGGGGACCCTGAGCTATTTAGTACTGTGCTGGGTGTAGTGAGGGGGACCCTGAGCTATTTAGTACTGTGCTGGGTGTAGTGAGGGGGACCCTGAGCTATTTAGTACTGTGCTGGGTGTAGTGAGGGGGACCCTGAGCTATTTAGTACTGTGCTGGGTGTAGTGAGGGGGACCCTGAGCTATTTAGTACTGTGCTGGGTGTAGTGAGGGGGACCCTGAGCTATTTAGTACTGTGCTGGGTGTAGTGAGGGGGACCCTGAGCTATTTAGTACTGTGCTGGGTGTAGTGAGGGGGACCCTGAGCTATTTAGTACTGTGCTGGGTGTAGTGAGGGGGACCCTGAGCTATTTAGTACTGTGCTGGGTGTAGTGAGGGGGACCCTGAGCTATTTAGTACTGTGCTGGGTGTAGTGAGGGGGACCCTGAGCTATTTAGTACTGTGCTGGGTGTAGTGAGGGGGACCCTGAGCTATTTAGTACTGTGCTGGGTGTAGTGAGGCACAATGTGAGGGGGACCCTGAGATATTTAGTACCGTTCTGGGTGTAGTGAGGCACAATGTGAGGGGGCTCTGAGCTATTTAGTACCGTTCTGGATGTAGTTAGGCATGCTCCTGGTAGTTCACTATATCTATCGTCTTGAGAAAATGGACCCTACAAGGCCCCTAAATGTTATCGTGGATCCTGTGACATGATGCTTTCACAGCAAAGCAGTAAAACACTGAATTTGGGGTGGCAGTGTCTAAGGGGAATTTCTCCTTAAGGTTACAATCAGAGTGTAATGTGCAGTCACAGCAAGACTAATGTTTTACACATCTAATCTAGTGGCATTTCCTTAGGACCAATGCTTTGCACTCTGAAAAACCATCATCTACAGGTGAAACTCGAATAATTAGAATATCGTGCAAAAGTAATTGCAGTAAGTACTGCAAAAGGGGCCCAAACCAAGTACTGAGTACATATGCATGCTTGTACTTTTCAGAGGTCCGATATTGTTCTATGTACAATCCTGGTTTTATTGATTGCATGTAATAATCTACTTTTTTGGGGTTCTTGGGGTTTTCATGAGCTGTAAGCCATAATCATCACAATTATGACAAATCACGGCTTGAACTATCTTGCTTTGCATGTAATGAGTCTCTCTCATATATTGGTTTCACCTTTTAAGTTGCATTAGTGAAATAAATGAACTTTGCATGATATTCTAATCGAGTTTCACCTGTATGTTGACAGTTACACACCACTAATGCTTTCAACAGACCCACTAGACTAGACCAAAGGTGTGTTCAGTAACTTAGCCAAGCGCTGAGTAGCTGTTCTGCAGCACTTCACTGAACGCTTCGGCTGTGCTAAGCAAATGACGGAGGATAATATTTTTGACAAATACCATATTCCAAGGAATATTTGGTGTGCTCGTCCACCAAAACATTAAATTGTAGGTTCCCACACTGAATCAATTTCCTCCATTGGGCTTTAGGCACCTTTCTCCAGTGTTGCCACGTGTGCCCACAGTGAAAATAGGCGCTGCTGCTCTCTCCCCACTTTCTCCATCACACTCAGCGCTCTGCATCCACATTCACTGCGAGTGCTAAGTTAGCAGTGCTGAGCGCTGGCTGGCAGCGTTCAGTGGCGGTTTGCTAACTCAGCACCTGCAGCGGCTGAGCAACTGAACACACCTATGGGGTGGGCAACTCTGGCCCTCAAGCTGTTGTGGAACTTTACTAGCCCCACTAAGAACCTGTCACCTGGACTATGTGATCACATAATTAGCATAGGCCCTCTTTGAAACTAGTTTTATTTAATGTGTTGAGTTCCCAGACTTCAAGGCTAAGGTCAGCCAATCCAATCACAGGGCAGTACGGGCATTCTCATTGGACAGGAGAATGGGAGGTGCTTAGCCTTGAAGTCAGGCCACAGTAACAATGTGAACGTGCTGCCTAAGTAATAAAGACACAGAACCGATGTACTCAATACTGAGGACGGCAGACACACAGCTAACTGACAGGTGTGGAGATATCTCTCTGTCCCTGCCTAACCTTCGCCAGGACGTGATGCGATCTTTGCCGATCTGTCAGCTGCACACATACACCGCTAAACCTCCACTCCGCCCCATAAAACCGTCACACCCGCTTTGCTCAATATCACATCGTTTGGAGAACTACAGGCACCAGCGTTTCCTATCCGCGTCCATGTGAATGTATGACAGCAAAACGTTTTGCATGTGAATGTGTGCACACAATATTTAATCTTCATTAGCGAATGTGAAAACGTTTACAGACCCTGAAACAATTTTCGTTGCGACAGTTGAAGTAAAATAATAACCGTTAACTTGCTGTTTAAACCCCCCCTCTCCATAACGTTCAACTCTGCTTTCTGACTCTAAGGGACAACTTCCTGTTTTGGAACGGTGGCCGAGTTGGTACATAGGCGCATGCGCTCGACCTCGCTCATCTTCAATGAGGACCCTATAAGCTTGCTGTGTGACAGCTGTATTCAGCCGCTGGTCTTTGAATGACTGCTGCTTTTCACTGGTAAGATGTATATTTTTTACTTTTCTGTTTTGTCAGCGCTCGTTCCAGACTCCCGTAGCTTTGATACCAAGGAATAGTTGTCATGGCAACTAATGTGTGATGCAGAGAGGTGAAGAAGGGAGGATTCCCATCCCCCCAGCCAATGATCACCTTACTATAAGGGCACCAAATGAACGAACCTCTTCCTATAATTTGCTTTCAGCTATGATTTTGCTATGTAGCTTGTTAATATAATGATTTTGGGAAGTTGGTTAGTTTAATAACAAAGCATGAGGTGCTTTTTGGTATGTCATTTAAATAAAATGCAGCTGTTACCTGTACAGCGTTATGGTAGCCATCTTGTTATCTGATACACAAGAACTCTTTATTAGGCTACAGGCCCGATGCAGAAACTGGAGCAATAGTTTTTACACAATTTCCATACAAGAATGTCTAAATTTAAAGCTGAACTCCAGGATACGCATATATTCTAAATTTAGGCAATATGTGTATTCTAACTTGAATCTTGGTGTGTTTGGTATATTTCTTCTAGATCTATGCAGTGATCTCATGTGAAACATTGCCTCTGAGCAGGAGCTTCCTGTAATAAAGACCAGTCACTGCAGGGTGACTGGTCTTGGTTCCGCCCCCTCCTGTAGTTTTCTACAGGCAGCTTGTAGTGTGTGGAGCCTCCTGGGTCTTTCCCTGCACAGGTCATGTACAGCACAGTGATGATGTCACCTCTACCTTTACAGGCATTTGGAGCACACAACGTCGTTTTTCACTCTACTTCATGTTAAAATGAAAGTTTTGTGCCCGGAGTTCAGCTTTAATGTCATGGCTTGTTTGCTACAGCTTCCCCTATCCATGGATGGTCTGTATGCCAAGCTTGTATACAATGATACATATACTGCAGGGGGTACATCTGCTTGTTAAAGGAATTAATCATTACAAGCATATATTTTCATTCATATTACAGCTCTTATGTAACGCAGATCTGATGGACTATTTTAGTTATTTTAAAATACTTTGTTTATTGTCACATTACAATGCAGACATCAGAGTATCGTACAGTGGCAGAAAAATAGAAAAGTTATTCCAATATCGTTGTGAGCATTAACACATTCTACTGGCAACAAGCTAACATTGACCGGAACATATGAACTAGGACAGTTCGTCTCACATCAGGGTATAATCAAATGGCATTATGAAAGAATTAGACATATTTCTCCTCTCCGGTGAGGCCCTACTACCTGCTGTTGTGCTCCTGCCCTTGCAGGCCGCCCAAACGGATCAACCCGGTACCTCCGGATTACGGCTGAACCGGGAAGTGATCCGCCTGTTCGAACCGAGTAATGTCATGTACACTGCAATTGCAGACTATGGTCAATTAAGTAAGCCAATATGGCAACAAGACAGAGCAACATAAGTGCGAGGGTGGAACACACCCCGCTCTCCCAAACCACTAACGGGAAATGAGCCTTAGCACTCATGTGATGGGGAACTTTGTAAGAGAGCGTGGGGTGGACCACTCTTGTGTGGTTACTCTCGTCTCCAATCCCATTACCGAGCTGTAAAGCAAAAGGAAGGAGGTCAGGAAATGAGCAGATAGGAAGGAAAGAAGGGAAAAAGGAAACAGACAGTGCACCGGCCATAACTCAGTAGCCATCATATATCCTATTCGGAACTCGTCTTCCTCACCCATTGCTCCGCTGTGTCACTGGGATCCCTCCCGTCTTCGCCACGTACGCAGCGGAATGTGTGAAGTGTAGCCAGGGCATCCAGGTGGACCTGAAACGTTCTTCCTCATTACGTAAGGAGGCTGTCAGGTCCTCCATACGGTATATGTTGTCCATAATAGCTAGCCAGAATCGTACCGTGGGGGGGTTGGGTTGTCTCCACAACAAGGTTATGCAAGACCTGGCCGCGTTCAGCATATGTACTGTCAGAGATTTTTTTGTATCGTTTGGTGGATGTCAAGTGTAGGAGAAACACCCCTGGGTCATCAGGCTCAATCACCAGTTGATTAACCATCGTCCTCACCGCATTCCAGGAAGGGCGTATGTCAGCACATGCCCAAAAGATATGGTGCCCGGTGCCTGATTACACCTCCAGCAGAGCGACGGGATCGAGGGATCGATTTTATGCAAGACATGAGGGACTCTGTACCAGCGTGATAGTATTTTATATCCCTGCTCCTGGTATTTGCAGGCCATGGATGATCTATGGGCTAGGGTCAAGACTGCTGCCTTCTGTTGTTCTGTAAAGGTCCTACCCAACTCGGACTCCCACCGCTCCACGAAAGGGGGGCAAAATGACTCAGGAGGTGAGCACAACTGCCCGTATAGCCAAGACAGGGCGTGTCTAGTCGGTGTGCCCGTATCACACATAGTCTCGTGCTAATCCTTCCACCCCAGGCACTATTTTAGTTATTTCAAACTACATATGAAAACCTAACATTCAGTTTACTAAAGTGGTCTGCTTAATGAACAGTTGTGTGTTTTTTTTTGTTATAAATAAAATATAACTTTCAATTTTTTTTCATCCTTTATTACACCTTAGTGCTGCTGATCCTCTTTCAGACACTTCCTGTCTGCATGTACTCAATCCAGTGGAAGCTGCACATAATTGCTCTGGACAAGCTTCCTGATAGTGACAACGGTGGACCGTGCCAGGGCAATGTGTGTCAGCGTGGATGCTTGTAGTTTCCACCAGATGAACATGTGACAGAGCAAGAGCACAACTGGGACAGAGTTGTCACCCTATAACAGGAAGTGCTTGAAGAAAGATCTTTGTGACAGAATCACCAGGTATTAACCCCTTCGTGACTGACGACGTACAGTGTACGTCGCCAGCATCAGGGCTGTTTTAAACAGACTATGTTTAAACTCGGTTTACAACAGAAGTGATTCAGGCGAGTTACCTGTCGCCAGATCGCTTCTGTGTCCCGAAGAAGCCCCCCTCCCGTCGGACACCCCCGCCGTGCTTCCCGGGCTTCGTTGCCCCTCCTACGGGCCCGGGACCGGCTTCCTTGGTGTCCGCAGGGAGCTGGTGAAGAGATCGACGAACTTCCGTTCATCGATCCCCTCCCCGTTTTATGGGACCGGGAGCGATGCAGATTGCATCACTTCCGGTCCCTGGGCTGTCAGTTCTGGGCTCCTGCAGCCCAGCTATAAGCTTTTGAAGTGCGATCTGCACTTCAATAGCTTATTTCTAGTGTAAGGCCCCGTTCACATTGAGCGGTTCGCAAATCGCGCGTTTGTTGCACGATTTGCATTTTGCGCAAATGCTTGCACTGAGCAAGCTTGAATCACGGCTAAATCCGCTCCAAAAAGGGTCCTGCTGTAGCGACACACGACCCGCGACAGCAGGACCCTTTGCTCCATTGAGAAGCATTGGAGAGCGATATCGCGCGGTAAATTGCCGTGATATCGCGGCAATGTGAACGGGGCCTTAAGGTAACACTGGGGGGTCTTTTGGACCCCCAGCATCACCTTAAAGAGTACCTGTCACCACCATCTGCTCTGTCACCACCATCTGCTATCACATGGGGGGACTAGTAAGCCCCCCTATGTGATAGCAGTCAAAGTAAAGTAACAAAAAAACAGTTTTTAAAATAAAATATATATAATAATAATTTAAATAAAATGTTTTAAGTCCCCCACGAGCACGCGCTTTGCCACGTAAACACGCGTCGGGTGCGCCTACGTATGAAAAAGTCAAAGTAAAGTAAAAAAAAACAAATCAGTTTTTTAAATTGAAATAAAATAAAACTAATGATAATTAAAAAAAATTAAAGTCCCGCGAGCACGCGCGCCGCCACGTAAACACGCGTCGGGTGCGCCTACGTATGAAAGCGACAAACTCGTTACACATGTTGGTTATCGCCGCGCACGCCGGAGTGAGAGCAGTAATTCTAGGGCCACTATTTTGGGGTATCTCTAAATTGATGACCTGTGGGGGCTTTTAAAGCGTCTTCTATGGACTTTTTGGGGTACTGGGGTTATTCGCCGTTTCACGGACGCACGCAATTTGTAAACTGGGCATGTTGGGTATCGTTTTACTCGTTGTAACCTCATCTTTTATATTTCATTAAAAAATTGGTATTTTGTTGTGTTTTGGGGCATTTAATTAAATTTGTCACTAAATTGTGGGGTTTAATAAGGAGTTGCGCTAATATTGCGCAACATAATTTGCAACTACCACCATTTTATTCTATAGGGTCTTGGCATTCAGAAAATCTATAATGTTTGGGGGTTTTAAGTCATTTTTAGGCCTAAAATGTGGAATATAACATGGGTGCAAAAAATGAAAAAAAGGCCTCAGTCATGAAGGGGTTAATTTAATGAAAACTGCAGATTTTAAAATAGATTTTACTAGTTCCAAGCCTCCATCTCACTCTGTGACTATGAGGCTTGGAATTAGGAAGCGCTGCACATAACACAGCGGCCACATGAAGCAATACACGGAGAGGCTGCGGGAGCTCTTACCTGGATGACGACTCAATCATACTGTACATTCTATTGATTTTAATGTATCCACTTCAGCAATGTAGTGCATCGTTAGTGTATAAGATAAAGGGTCTCAGCGTGAGGAGGTGGCCTGTGAGAGAAGTGTTAGAGAACTTGGTACCTGATCTCCCCATACTCCTCAGAACTGAAGAAGAGGCTTCAATAAGCTACGAAATGTGTTCAGCATTACAGGACAGATCTAGTTGAATGTGACTAACATCAATGAGAACTGACCGTTTTAGCTGATAGCCATCACTGCTTTAGGTGATTAACGCTTTTCAACCCGAGTGCCCAAACTCTAACGCAAAATCAATTTATTTATCTCAAAGTGCCAACACTGAAAGTAAGTTTGGTATTGTGTTTTAGTTTGGGCACTGGGGTTTAAAAAACATTCAGCATCACTGCCTCAGGCAAAATAGGGAAACACACATATTCAAACATTTAAAGATTTATTTTTTTCTTTTATTGTTTTACTTTATCACTTTTTTTTTAACTTTCTTATTTTTTTAT